AGATTTTAGAGGGAATGCCTTCAACTTTTCTCCATTCAGAATGATGCTAGCCTGAGGCTTAGCATAGATAGCTTTTACAATGTTGAGGTAAGTTCCTGTTATCCCTAGTTTTTCTAGTGTTTTGAACATAAAAGGATGTACTTTGTTGAATGCTTTTTCTGCATCTATCGAGATGATCATGTGGTTCTTATGGTTAAGTCTATTGATGTGGTGAATAACATTTATTGATTTCCATATATTGAACCATCCTTGCATCCCAGGGATGAATCCTACTTGATCATGGTGCACAATTTTTTTGATATGTTTTTGTACCCGATTTGCCAGAATTTTATTGAGAATTTTTGCATCTAGGTTCATTAGAGATATTGGTCTGTAGTTTTCTTTCTTTGAAGTATCTTTGTCTGGTTTTGGAATCAGGGTAATGTTGGCCTCATAGAATGAATTTGGAAGAGTTCCCTCTTTTTATATTTCCTGAAATAACTTGAGAAGTATTGGTATTAATTCTTCTTTAAAGGTTTTTCAGTGTTTGAAATACGTTGTTCCAGGACCTTCTTGCTTTCAGCGTCTGTGATGAAAAATCAGCCATTAACCTTATTGATTTACCTCTGAATGTAATCTGCCTCCATTCTCTTGTAGGTTTTAATATTTTCTCTTTATTCTATATATTGGATATCTTCATAACAATGTGTCTTGGCATTGGTCTACTGTGATTTTTTATGCTCAGTGTCCTATGTACATCTAGAATTTGACCATCTGTTTACTTATTTATATCTGGAAAGTTTTCTAAAATTATCTCATTCAACAGATTGCTCATTACCTTGGTTTGGACCTCTATACCTTCCTCTATCCTGAGGACTCCTAAGTTTGGTTTTTTATGTTATCCCATATCTCTTGGATGTTTTTCTCATGATTTCTTACCACCCTTTCTGAGTTGGCTAGACTCTTTTCCAGGTGATATATTTTGTCTTCATTGTCCGATGTTCTGACTTCTACTTGCCCCACTCTGCTAGTGATTCTCTCATTTGAGTTTTTAATTTGGTTTATAGTTTCCTGCATTTCTAGGATTATTGTTTAATTTTTTTATAATCTCTATCTCCTGGTAAAGTTGCTTATTTGTTTCTGTAATTCATTTTAAATGTGTTCTTTCATTGTTTGGATCTGCTGTCTTATATCCTCTTTAAGATTCCATTCCTGGCTGGGGATGTGGCTCAAGCGGTAGCGCGCTTGCCTAGTGTGTGTGCGGAGGGTTCGATCCTCAGCACCACATACAAACAAAGATGTTGTATCCACCAAGAACTAAGAAAAAATAAATAAATGTTAAAATTCTCTCTCTCTCTCTCTCTGTCCCCCTCTCTCTCACTCTCTCTTTAAAAAAAAAAAGATTCCATTCCATCTGTATAAGGTATTCCTTGAGTTCTTTATTTGACCATTTTTCTGATGCCTCTAGGTTCTCCTGTAGATTTAGGCTGTCCTGCATTGTTTGTAATCCTTTTCTTCCTTGTTTTTTCATGCTGCTCATGTTACTTCAGGGTCTGTTTGACTGGTGAGTTACTGTTTATTCTTATAAATTTATTTTGTTTTTGTGTATCTCCAGAGTCCCTCCTTTGTGATGGGAGACTGTGACTAGAGATGATGAATTTTATTGCACTTTAAAGCAGATTCATTCGTTTCATAAAATGCGTACGGATTCTGATGGCATATAGCGATCTGCGGTTTGGTCTTGGGACTTATGTTTAGGTTGAGTGATATGATGGTACAGAGTTTGTTATATCTTGGCAACCTTGGAAGATTGCTTTACTGATGGAGGGATATTAACAGGAGAATGGTCCGGAGTATTTGGAGGTAGCCAGGGAATTGGTAGCACTATATCATGCCTGGGAACATTTATCTATACACATTTAGTAAATTACACATAAACAGCATCATAATGCTTGAGAGGAAAGTTATTAAAAGGGGAGGGAAGAAGTTGCTAAAGAGAATGAGAGTAAACAGGTAGAATTCAAGAAAAGGGGAATAAGGAAATTGAAAGAAATGAAAGGACAAAAAATTAAATTAAAATTAAAAATAAATAAAATTTTAAAAATTAAAATAAAAAGAAAATTTAAAAATGCAGTCTTAAAGTTCGATTAACTTCTCTTCCAGTAGGTGGAGCTGTGCCCACTGAGCCAAGCTTCTCTTCTCAATATGCAGGAACCAATCACTGTGAGGCGGCTCCTCCTCCCCCACTGGACAGCTCTCCAAACCTAGGCTCCCAGGGCCTTTCCTGGTCTCCAGTCACTTCCCTGCTTTTCCTCCAGCCAGGCCCCGCTCACTGGTGACGTTCACCACAAAACTAGCTACACGCCGGCTCTGCCGCTCTCGGGATCCCTATTTTCTTGAACGACTGGACACACTCTCTCTGTTTGCCATTCCCCCAGACCCTAAGGTTGTGGAGCCGGGGCTAGGAACCATCAGCTTATTCTGCCTGCCCTCCGGTAGCCATGCCTCCGGAGCTGGCGCAAGAGACCTCGGTTGTCAGCGCTGGTGGGAGTGGTAGCCAGGGGTCAGGTGCCGCTCCTGACTCCCTCGGTCTGACAATAGCGCTCACAGGAGAGCTAGGGGGGGCCCTTGAGATTTTCCTGCTGTGTGCAGAGGAGGGACCTGTGGGTCACACACCTGCAGTCGCCGGTTTCAATGAAGCTATCCTCTCCACCGAATTCTGGTGATGTCAGTTCTCTGCCATGGTGGTGTCTGTTGTGAAGGGTGGCCGTTCATTCCCTTTTCGGTTGTGCGATGTGAAGGGTGGGTCTGGTCCAACTCTCCCAGGTCCCCTCTCAATCCTGGGCCAGCTGCCTATGAAGGCTTCTTTGCTATCACCTTAAAAGTTTCACGTAGGAACCGAAGAGTTGTTTCTCTATTCCGCAGGAGCATCCGTAGCGCTGAGGCGCTGAGTCATGGCAGTTTGGCGGCGAGAAGCTGACAATCAGCCAGAAACTGCGTATGGAGAGCCTGAATTTACCCGCTCCGGGCTTGGTGTGGGTTCTGAGGGGCGCAGACTGCTCACCCCAGGACCACTTCACCCCAGCATTGCCAAGTGATCCTGAGCAAACAACATTCAGTTGGTTTAAGACTCCCTTTGCCCGCACAGCTGAAGAGGTCACAGAATTGATCTTTTAGCGCCTGCTGCCATGTTGGATCTCCATTGAACATTTTTTTTACCTTCTCTGATGTCTTTGCTGGCCCATTGTCGGGTTCTATATGATGGCAATACCTGATTCAAACCATACTTCCTCTAAGGTTTAACTTTTAGCACTCAGAGGTAGAGACAATGGCATAAGAAATATTTGAACTGAAAGTGGGAAGAGCTTGAATACTTCTGATAGAAATTGATTATTATAACTAGGATAAGAACAAATGGATGGTGGATAAGAAATCATGTTTTCTATTCTTTTGACTGCCCAATATCCCTTGCAAGGACACACTTTTTAAAATATTTATGCCTATATAAATTGCATATATGGTACTGCTCTTCCCCAAACAGTATACCAAATCTCTTCCACTTTTGTAATGTACCAAGAACTCTTAAGTGATGTATAGTTCTCTTAGGTAAAATTGCTAGATGACTTAGAGCTAAGGGTTTTTGTTGTTGTTGTTGTTGTTACTCTTTAGCCTGGTTACATTTTTTGTTTAAAATTCATTTAAGTTTATTAATATTTCAATGTTAGTCCACTTTTCCTATTCTTACTGATTTATTTTGTGAATATGTAAAGCAATGACATGTTTTCAAAAGTCAAAGTATATAGAAAAATACACTCAAGAGAACTATCACTCCCTTCAGTATTGTCTGTATCTCATTTTTCCATACCCCCTGTAGGAAAATAATGCCATTGTTTTCTGGTTCATCCTTTCTGTGTTTCTTTATGGAAAGATAAACCTATGTTTGTATATTTTATTATTTCAATTATTGCTTACACACGGTTATCATGCTCTATTTTCTTATACTTTGCTTTTTTACTTAGTATATTTTGGAAATCCATGAGCTCATAGGTATTCTCCATCTTCCTTTTTACAGCTTCATAGTACATCATTCTGTATATGTACGTTAGTTCATCAATAAAACAAACACCTATGCTTTATTGTTTCCAATATTTTACAACCATAAATAATGTTGCAATCAATAACCTCACATGTATACATTTTTATACTGTTTGATATATCATGAGGGCAAATTTCTGAAAGCAGGATTTCTCCATTGAAGGATAATAAGTACATGTATAATTTTGTTAAGTATTGCTAAAATCCCAACTGTAAGCACTGTGCCATTTTGCATTCTTCCAAGCAATGGAGGAGAGCATACGGTTTTCAGTAGACCTAAAAATACAGTGTATTGAGAAACTTTGGTAATTTTGCTAAGTTAAGGAATGAAAAATGTTAGGTTTTGTTTGTATTTATTCTTAGCAAAATTGAATATGTTATGTATGTGTTCATAAGATTTTGGGCACTATTTCTCAAATTTTTATATTAGGGCTGTTAACCCTTTATCTGTGATGCATATTACACATATTTTCCCCAAATTTTTGTTTGTCTTTTACTTTATGTTTTCCCATGCAAGTTAATGTTTTATTAACTCAAAAATCACATTTTCTTTTGTTATATCAGGATTTTTAGTCATGTAGACAGAAAGCATTTATTAGTACCCAAGTTATAGAGTAACATGTTTTTTTCTAGTATTTGTATTGTTTTATATTTCTAATATAGCTATCCATTTGAATTTTATTTATGTGTGTGGTATTTATAATATATATCTTTATCCTTTTTCACGTGACTAGTTTTCCTATTATTAGTTATAAAAACATTAACTATGCCAAAATAATTTGAGAAATACTACCTTTATGACACCCTACACTTTTATTATTAATTGTTTTTAATTTCTTGACTTTCTATTCTGTCTCAATTATTTACCAATTCAGTGCTACAGTGCTATACTGTTTTCCTTTTGGAGGCTTTCTGATAGAATGTTTAAATATTTGATATGGCTAGTACTTCCCTGACCTAAGATGTTCTTTTTTCAATGTTTTCATAGCCATTCTTGTATGGTTATTTTTCTATATGGACTTTAGGATCAACTTGTTGAAGCTCCATAAAAATTTAGCTAGATTTTAATATATAGAGAGAACATGATTATTGCAATATAATTTTTCATTTTTATTATGGTACAGTGGGAACAATAATACACCATGGTCCTCAGTCCATAGACCATAACACACTTATGGACTAGTATAAGAATTCCCTGCCTTAGCAATGGCCAGTCACTGATCAGTGAGTCCCTGGTTTTGCACCCTTGAAGTATGTTCATTGTTTTCCATGGCGACATATAAGTCATTTAGGTTACCTTAATAAAGCTGCTCTCATTACCAGCCTACATTTTCTCAGTGCCCCCTAGGTACCAGAGATTTACTTAGGCTGTTGGTTAAAAAAGTATGACCCTTGGATCAGCAATATCAAGACCTTATGCAAATGTTAACAATGCAGATTCGTTGCTTGCCTCAAACTACAGAATCAGAAACTCTAGGACTAGGCCCCAGTATCCTGTGGTTTAACAAGATGATTCTTTAGCTGATGTTGGTATATGCTCAAGTTTGAGAATAACTGGCGTGGGAATGGAAAAGGCACAAGATATCTTTCAGGATTGGGGATTCTCTAATAATATGGCACCTTAAAAAGTTTAACATGCTTTTGGTGAATCTCCATATTGCTTTCCAAAGTGGTTGTACTAATTTGAAGTCCTACCAACAATGTATAAGTATACCTTTTCCCCCATATCCTTGCCATCAATTATTGTTAATTGAACCACCCTATGAAAGAACTATTCCACACCTTGGTATTTACCCAAAGAACTAAAATCTGCATAGAATTTTCATATATGCAGACTGGTGTTTATAGCAGAACAATGTACAATAGCCCAGTTATGGAACAAGTCTAGGTGACTTGTTCAAACTTGGTATATGTACACAGTGAATTTCTACTCAGGTATAATGAAATTATATTATTTGTTGGTAAATGGATGGAAGTGGAGAACATTGATATTAAATGAAATAAGACAAACTCAAAAAAGTTAAGGGATGAGTGCTTTCCCTCACATGAGAAAGCTGGAGAAAGAAAATGAATTATAAAAGGGGATCTTGCAAAAATGGTAGGGAAGATCAGTAAAATAGAAATGGGGAACTAACGGCATGGGAAGGAGGAGAGGGAAAGAAAGGGGAAGAGCTGAAGAATGAAGTTGATCAAATTATGCTGACCATGTATGAATATATCACAGTTCATTTCAATTTCATATGTAACTGTAATGTACCAATAAAAAATAAATAGATAAAAGGTATACTAATAAAGTAAATGAGGGGATTGGGAGAAGAAGGAAGGGATGGGATAAGGAAATACTCAGTATTGAAATGGAGCAAACTATGTTATATACACTTATGATTGTGTCAAAATGATCCCCACTATTATGTATAAATATAGTGCATTAATTTTTAAAAAAGTTTAAAATTATTTTGATTATGATTATTTGCTGAATATCATGTATCAGCAACCACACCTAGGGAATTTATTAAATCATAATCTTTGCACAAAGAATATAATATGGAAATTACCTTTACTTGTTCTTTTATTTATATTTTCATGTCTCCATAACTATAATTAACTTCAACTTTCTAATATGCAGTTTATTCTCTTAGTTAGAAAAATATAAGCAAAATATGTGCTAAGCAATTATATTTTCTCACCATAATTTCTTAAAATCATATAATCTTCCTGAACAATGTGTCTGTTCCTCTCCTATTTTTCCTTTAATTTGCACTGAAAAAGAAACCAAAATAAAATAACACCCCTGTTTGTCATTAGCATTTTTATAAATTGTGGTGCATTCTCTCCTGTCTAGACAGTATCTGTACAGATTTGTACCACTCAAAAAATTAAACCTTGATTGTTTTCTTTAGTTTGTGAGCCTGCTGTCTTAAAATGTTTATATTTAAACTTGTGAACAAGCTCAATCTCAGCAATCAGATTCATTTTTATTTTAGATAATTTTAGATGACTCATCAAATCCCTTTTATTTTGCATGGTTTTAGATAGCTCTCCTCTATGGTATTTATTGTATTGCATGGATCCACAATTATCCTTTTATAATCTTTTGAAAATAACAGTCTGATTTGTGAAATTTTCTAAGTCAATGCAATAAGTTTCTGATAGGTAATAACCATCACCCTAGAATTCTCTTCATTTTACTATCACAAACTTCAACATGATATGTTACTTACTTCTCCGGGTTTCTGTCACTTTTGTGTCACTGGGAATTTTTTCATGTTGATCAAAATTTAGAGTGACAGTTTTCTTGTTTTAATCTCTTCTGAAAGAAAAAATGTTCAGCAGAGCAAGTAAAGGATTTTTTATGAGCACTTTTCTTATCAAAATGACACTTCGTGTTTGAAGTCCTCCTGAGAGATGACATTCTTCTCAGGATTACATCTTTTCTTTATTGTTTACAGTTAGGGAAGCAACACCAAATGCCTTTGGTTAGTTGACTATTCTCTAGAATATTATTGTAACTTCATTTAGACCTTTCCTTTGTTTATCATCTACATATTTCACCACATGACTGTATTCAGCCTTTTTATTTTCATTTCCATATAAACATTAGAGCTGTGAAAGCATGTAAGAGACACCTCTTCAGAGATTTCCATTACCAGATATATTCAAACAAAATCAGATGACCACTTTTCTTTCAAATTTTAAAGAGGCTCAAACAGGATAGGAATTTAGAATGATACTGTAGTTGATTTTCAGAACTAATGGTGAGTGTAAATGTAGTACAAGCATTATTTATTATTTTAATTAGTTCTATTTAAATAGACTATAGTTCTGTATTAAGTCTATGATTTATAAATTTTATAAATATAACCTATAATTTATATACATAGAAATCTCTTGAAAGTTCTCAAGTTATATGACTCATTACTCATATAATATAGAATTTAAAAACATCTCTTATTTCCAAATCCTATAGTCTTTCCATTATAATTCCTTTCAGTTCACTAGCAATATTGCCTACTATTTGATTTCAAGTTGAGTTTTTTCCTCCTTCAAATTTTAGTTCAAAGGAATTTTGACCAGATTTATTCATCTTCTACTATGTGTACCCTTATATGCTGAACTCAGATTATGATATAATAACTGACATTGTGCTTATTGATACTCATAAGGTAGCCAGTTAGTAGTGTCTCAAATCTAGTTTCCAATACAATGTTCCAATCTTTAAATGGAAGAATACTTAAAAGACAAAACCCTAATCCCCTCTCTCCAAGCCATTTGATTTATATAATCAGCCCTCCAAAGCAAACTAAGAGAAAAGAGTAAAAAACAAACAAAAAAGAATACTTTCCCTATGTTCTATTGAAAATATAAGTTTCAGGTAGGAGTGTTGATAGAGGATTGAAATCTATGTTAACATAGAGTAGTGAAAGACTTACTGGAATTAATGTCAATAAATAGAAATATGAAAAGGGAATGTGCATTTCCCTTCACACTTTTTAGGAAAGCATAATGACATGTCCATTAAAAAAAAAGGCACCAGGGACTTTTCCAAATAAATGTGAGGAGTACTTTCATGAAAGTTATTCATTTCCAGGAAGATTAAACACATGTAATCTACCCTATTCCTCCTGGTAAGAACAAATAAAAAACACTGAATATTATATGTAATAAAAAACAAAATATCTCTGAAAGATTGAGAGAAGACCAATTGGTAAGGGACTTTGGGACCTGAAAAACAACACAGTT